GATGTTACAGCTCATAGCAACCTCCAACTCCTGGGCTTAGGTGGTTCTCTTGCCTCAGCCTCCCAAGTAGCTGGGACTACAGGCACCCGCCACAACGCCTGGCTATTTGTTTGTTGCTGTTTGGCCAGGGCCAGGTTCCAACCTGCCACCTTGGGTATATGGGGCTGGCGCCTGATAAAATGGATGCCCCCAAAAGCTGTAAAGGCAAGGTTATTACATGATGATAAAGGGATCAATTCAGCAAGAGGATATAACAACTCTAAATGTATATGCACCTGACACAGAAGCAACCAAGTAGGGATATGAAGCAAATGTTAACTGATTCAAAGGGAGAGATAGATTCAAATTCAACAATAGCCGGGGACGTCAACACCCTCTCCGCATAGGACGGAAAATCAAGAAATAGACATTGAATTTAAACTACACATTAGACTAAATGGGCCCCAAAGACATTTGCACACATTTCATCCAACAGCCACAGAAAACACCTTCTTCTCATCAGCACAGGGAACATTATCTAGGATTGACCACACATCAGGTCACAGAACAAGTCTCAACACGTTTAAAACAATTTAAGTCATATGAAGTATCTTTACTGACCACAATGGAATAAAACTAGAAATCAGTAACAAGTACAAATACATAGAAATTAAACAACATGCTCCTGAATGACCAACAGATCAATGAAGAAATTAAGAAGGAAATTAAAAATTTTTTTTGTAGAGACAGAGTCTTACTTCACTGCCCTTGGTAGAGTGCCACGGCGTCACAGCTCACAGCAATCTCCAGCTCTTGGGCTTAGGCGATTCTCTTGCCTCAGCCTCCTGAGGAACTGGGACTATAGGTGCCTGCTACAACACCCAGCTATTTTTTTGTTGCAGTTTAGCCAGGGCCGGGTTTGAACCCGCCACCCTTGGTATATGGGGCCAGTGACCTACCCACTGAGTCACAGGCACTGTCCCAATTTTTTTTTTTTTTCAGTTTTTGACTGAGGCTGAATTTAAACCCACCACCTCCAGTATATGGGGCTGGTGTCCTTCTCCTTTGAGCCACAGGTGCCGCTCCCCCCCTCCTTTTTTTATTTCTTTGCTTTTTTCTTTTTTACAGGTGTGAGCCACCGTGCCTGGCAAAAAAAAAATTTCTTGAAACACACCAGCCTGAGCAACATAATGAGACCTCATCTCTATAAAGAAATAAAAATCTTAAAATAATTAGCTGGGCATGGTGATGCACACCTGTAGTTCCAGCTTCTCAGGAGGCTGGAGGATCTCTTGAGCCCGGAGGATCTCTTGAGCCCAGGACTTAGAGGCTGCAGTGATCTATGATTACACTGCTGTATACAGGAGAACCTCTGTGTATTGGCCATCTAAAGGACTGTAACAAACTTGTCAACATACGGAGCTGGTCAACGTAAGGAAGTAGGCCTACTGTACTGATGCTTACATGTGGTGCATTCAGGTCTATGAAAATTAGGTCAACTTAAGGACATGGTCAATGTAGAGAGATGGTCAGCTATGGAGGGTCTATTTATTTAAAAATCGCAAGTTCCATACTCTGCTAAACAGATCTCAAAACTTATGATCCAGTGATCCTATTTCTGGGTCTATATTCAAAGCACAGAAAATAAGTATATTGAACAGCTATCTGAATCCCCATGTATACTGCAGCACTAATCACAATAACCAAGGTATGGAATCAACCTAAGTACACATCAACAGATGAGTGGATAAAGAAAATGTGGTGTATATGTGCAATGGATTATTACTCAGTCATAAAAAGAATGACATCCTGTCATTTATAGAAACATGGAGGATGCTGGTGGATACTAAGTGAAATCAATCAGGCACAGAAAGACAAAGTTGCATGTTCTCATCCATATGTGGAAGGTAGAAAAGTGGGTCTCTCTCAAGGAGAGAGTAGAATCATGGTCACCAGAGGTGTGGAAGTGAGGGGAGGGAGGATTGGGAGAGATTGGTTAACAGATACAAAAGCACAGCTAGATATGAAGCATAAGACCTATGTTCTATAGCTCTATAGAGTGACTATAACTAACAACAATTTATTGTACCTTTTCAAGTAGCCTAAAGAACAGACTTTGAATGTTCCCAACACAAACATTTGAGGTGATGGAGATGCTTGTCTGCCTGATTTGATCACTAGACATCCTATACATGTATGGAAATATCACACTGTAACCATATGTGTATAATTACTATGTCTATTAAAAATAACAAAAGTGAAAAAAAAATCGCAAGTTCCACAGGACCCCCAAACTGCTGACTCTATAGGTCCAGGGACCAGAGAATCTTCATTTTATAAACTGTGCTTTAAAAACAGACTGTCTTATTTCAAAATCCTTTGCTTCTTTGAGCATCCCAAGCCTCTCATTTAGGACACCAGCACTTCCCTTGCACCTGGCCTGGCAAGGCGGTTTCATGGATATTGTAGCCACTCCACTCTCAGCTCAGGAAGGTAGATGTTATTATGCACACTTATTTACAAACAGGGAAACTGAGGCTCAGAGAGATGAAGCCACTTACTCCAAAAAGAACCAGCTGTCAAGTGTAACTTGGCTGGAAAGGGGCTGAGGCCCTTCCTGACCACCACGCCTGAAGAACCTTCCCTGTGTTCTTCTCTTTCTCAGCCTGTCGACTCCTTCACAGCTCTTACTGGAAGTTGCAATTATTTCCCTTATCGGTTTGTTTGGCTGGCTTCTGTTTTCTTTTCCAAGGGCCCTCTGGTTTTCTCTAGAGCCTAGATGGTGTCTGGCACATGAGTAGGGCTTGATTTATACTTGCTGAAGGAAGGAACTTGTTATTGTAGGTGCAGGGGACCAAAAACACTGTCTTCCATCTTGTAAAGTTTTGACTTCCAAAGCTCAGAACCCATTTCCACCCTTGTGTGTGTGTCTGTTTGTGCTTGCACATGCATGCCATAAATCTCTCAGCACCCCTATGGAGTTAGCCCAGATTTAGAGTGCACTGATGCCCTAGTGTTATGGGCATCATGTTTCCCTGCCTGGACTAGAAACCTAGTCCTCCTACCCTCCAACCCATACTGCCTTACTCCCAACCAGGGCATGAGCACAGCTTACCAGGCTTCCCAAAGCATCCTTCTCGAACCTTCTGCCAGCTGAGAATGGCCTCCAGCCAACGGAGTTTGTAGAAGTCAGAGAAGCCGCTCAATCCACAAAACATGACTGCAAGCAAAGATGGGTGCCCTGGAGGTCTGGCCCCCCTCCTCCCATGTCCCCAGGCTGCATGGTGCCACCTGCTTCCTCCTGCCGGGCCCAGCAGTACCAGGAGGTGGGCATTCAATGCAGGGGCAAGAAGGAAGCAGCCTGAGGCTCCATTGGTGGAGGGATTTGAACACTTCCACCAGGGAACTCCCTCCCTTTCAGCCCCATCTCTATAGCTTCGAGGGTGTTTGCCAGTCAGCTAGTCAGTCTGTCCAGAGCTCCGCCATGGGTAAGCTGTCACATAGTGGTAGGTAAAATATAGGATGCCCAGTTATATCTGAGTTTTTAAATAAACAATGAATACAATTTTTAAGTATAAGTATATTCCATGCAGTATTTGAGATAAACTTTCACAAAAAAAGTATTAATTGTCTATTTAAAGTTCAAATTTAACTGAACACTCTATATTTTTACTTGCTTAATCTGGTAACATGACCCGTGTGTGTGTGTGTGTGTGTGTGTGTGTGTGTGTGTGTATAGGAGCCCCAATCATGGATGCCCTGCGGCTTTGTCCCGAGAGCAAAATGCCAGGCTCACTGTTTTCCATGAAGATGTCCCGGGTGGGGTAGGCATATTCGATGGCCTCGGCTCTGCGGTTCAGGTCCATCATGTTGGCACAGAAGAGGTTGATATAGTGCTGGCTCTGGCTAAACAGTCCCTTGGTGCACCCCATCTGGGGGGACAAACACCAGAGACAAGGAAGTCAGTGATACAGATAGCAGACGCACACTCTGTTATGGACAAAGACATGTAGCAGTGAGACCGTCTTGAAAGAGGTGGTGTATGGGGCAGGCCTTTTCTCCTTTTCCCAGGATTTTTTCCCCACCCACATATCAGCGTGCCTGGGGCTCCATCACTGGAAATCAAAGAGCCACTTCTAGTCCCAGCTCTGCTACTCAGGAGCCGAGTTGCCTTGGTCTGCTGAATTAACATTCTGAGCTTCACAGTTTTCATTGGGAAAGGGCGAAGCTGCTGGAAACTGCACTAGAGGGCTCTGATGTATGTAGATGACACAGCTAGGAAGTGCCCGACGTGACACCATGACATTAGGGCATCAGTGCACTCTAAATCTGGCCTAACTCCACAGGCAGCTTCTGTGCTACTCAAAGTGTGGGCCTCAGACCAGGCCGGTCACTGCCCCACACCAGGAGAGGACAGGAGTTTAGAACAGCCTTCAGAAACTTCTGTAGTGATGGTCAGAGTAACTTTGTACCTGTTGAATCTAATCTAGTGGTTCTCAACCTTCCTAATGCTGCGGGCCTTTAATACAGTTCCTGTGGGTTGAGACCCACAGGTTGAGAACTGCTGATCTAATCAAATAATTTTCCTTGTAATCTGATTTTTATTGTATTTCCAAAAATACTGGTCTGTCATAGTTTGCAAATAAATAATAATAATACTAATTAAAAAATCTTGTCAAACAAGAACAGTGGGTACTTTCTTGGCTAAGAATTTTTGGACCCTGAATGACATTTTTTTGAGTAGAGATCAAGAGCCCTACCTTTCTATAGAAAGAAATACACACACACACACACAAAGTTCGTGTGCAATTTAAAATTGTTTAACATAGTAAACTGCAGGATGGCACCTGTGGCTCAGTGGGTAGAGCACCGGTTCCATATACCGAGGGTAGCTGGTTCAAACCTGGCGCTGGCAAAACTGTAACCAAAAAATAGCTGGGCATTATGAGGGGCACCTGTGGTCCCAGCTACTTGGGAGGCTGAGGCAAGAGAATAGCCTAAGCCCAGGAGGTGGAGGTTGCTGTGAGCAGTGTGACGCCATGTCACTCTACCAAAGGTGATAAAGTGAGACTCTGTCTCTACAAAAACAAAAACAAAGTAAATTGCAAACAAACTTTATGGACCCCCTGTATATGCCTATAATTTAAAATTATCATCATTATTTTTGGACTTAGAGGTGGAGGTGGGGGTGGGGCTGGATGCCCCCTCCCATTGCTGGGCTTTAGTCCCCAGGACCTCAAAGACAGACCCTCTGACTGGATTTGATCCAGGACACAGCTATGACTCATCCCTGCTCCATAGACCACAAGGGGGCGTTATGTGTCCAGGACTCCGGGGGCTGCTGGAGAGCTAGGTGTGGGCCTGAGCATGCTGGGAACCTTCTCTTCTTGAAGCCAGTGGGCTCACACCTTCAAGACCTCCCCTTCTTTTTTCCTAAAAAATTCAGTTTTGTTTTTTAAAATAAGGCTAAACAGGTAAATTACTACAAGGCTAACTTCCTTGATATTTCAACATGGTTGTGTTATTTTACCACAGAAATTGTCAATAGATCCCTAGAAGGGAAGTATCCAACAGCAAGGATAACTTTATACTCTGAATATCTCCTCTTTCCTCCTCCCAGACCACTTTTTTGTTTTGTTTCGTTTTGAGACAGGGTCTTGCTCTGTCACCCAGGCTAGAGCGCAGTGGCATCAGCCTAGCTTACTGCAACCACAAACTCCTGGGCTTGAGCGATCCCCCTGCCTCAGCCTCCCAAGTACCTGGGACTACAGGCACCCATCACAATGCCTGGGTAGTTTTTCCATTTTTAGTAGAGATGGGGTCTTGCTCTTGCTCAGACTGATCTCAAATCCTGAGCTTAAGGGATCCTCCCAGCTTAGCCTCCCAGAGTGCTAGGATTACAGGTGTGAGCCACCATGTCTGGCCCAAAAACCTTCTTCTGACTGGCTACAGCTAAGGACAACCCGCTGCCCATCACCATGGGCTTGGTTTGCTCTCCTGCACCCAGTTATCAGCAAATTTTGTTAGAAGTCTTCTTCATTTGTTGTTCACAAAGTCCTGTCTGCTGCTTCTCTTTGATTCTCTCTCTTTATCTTTTGTTTTGTTTTTCAATGCCCTATGGTCTAGTTCAGCATGCAAAGCTATCTGGTTCTGCCAGTCCAACAGAATCCCAAATCTCCCTTCCCCAACCCACCATGGCTACGTAATGGGCTCAGTCACACAGTAGGATGGCAGGTGCTGTCACTTTGCCCTGCTGGTGTCTGAAGCACAAATCCAAAGGCTACCCCCCCCCCCCCCCGGGGTGCAGCAGACAAGCACCCTGCCGAGAGCCCCTTTCATCAGCCTACTCAGGCACTCACCATTCTGGCCCAGAGGAAGAAGAGCAGCTGGTGGGACAGGTAGTAGCCAGAGCAGCCGGGCTTGGTCATGAGGGCCCGGCAGAAGTCTGAGAGCCCGCAGGGCTGGCTGCTGTCCTCCCTGGGGGAAAAGTGGTTCTGGCGTGTAAAGGGTGGTGCCCCGTTCCCACCCTGTGCCTCCCCACGCTGTGACTAGTTGTTAGAATCCTCAGTAGGTTCTAGGGCCCTGGCTGGGCACAGGGTTGCCAGACAAAATACAGGTGTTCTGTGCCTTGACTTGTTAAATCTGGCACCCCTAGCACAGAGAGGTGACACTGGAGCTCTTCTGGGGTTGGGGAAGCCACCAGGGGCTGAGACTTCCTGTTGCTCCATGGGACCCCAAATTACATCTTTCCTGGCACTGCCCTGAACAGTAGATACTTGAATCTAGACAGCTTGGGGTCTGGGCAGAACATGCTCATTCCCCCTGTGCCTGGTCTGCCCCAGAAAATGGCAGGCAACAGAAGTGGCCGGGTATGCCCTGGCCCAAACACCTCTCTGAAGGGCGCAGAGAGGACATGGCCACCACCTGCTTTCACTTTGCTGGTAGGCCTTGCTCTCAGCTGCCCAAGGCCTGACTCCAAGCCCACCCAGCAGCTGGTAAACTGGTGACCAGGCAGGCTTAGCCCTGCCTCCTGGGACCTGAAGCCCATGGGTAGACAGGACCACAAGGCCACTGTAAACTCCATCTGTGGCTACAGGAGGCTCTGGGAGAGCCCATGGGGGAGGTCTGGGTTGTCTGAGGGGCCAGGGACAGTTCTGGAGGCAGGATGGTGGCTGTGGCCCTGGAGGCCTGGCACAGGGATTTAGGCTTAGGGGAGGGAGGTGGAAAGTGGGTGGGAAAAGCAGAGGTTTTGAAGTGGAAGGTGCCCAGAGGATTAAAGGATGCCCTGGGGCCAGGTCAAAAGGGTTGAAGGAACAAAGGGACCACAGGAGGCTTGAGGCGAGTGCTCAGACAGGTTTTTGAAGGGATTGCTGTGGCCCAGGAACACCAGCCAGGTGGTGGGCATGCTAGTCCCCCCTCCCACAATGATTCCCTTGTCTGGGTTTGTACAATTCCTGGGACTCGGCCCAGACATGTGAGGTGGGGTGGGGTAGGGTGAGGAAGTCTAGAGACCCCACCCAGTTCCTAGCAGCTGTGCCAGGCAAGAGTCACTAGTCTCCTCGGAGAAGAAGTCCTGGGGCTCAAAGGTGGGGTAGACCAAGGAGGCGTTGGTGCGGGTCCAGGCTCGAGGTAGCTTCCAAAACCCAGGCAGGAGGGTTGGCTGGAACTCTGGCAGGGAGGAGAGGCAGGGTTGTGGGAGCTGTGGCCCCTGGCCCCATATGGAGCTGGGTATCTTCTGAGCACTAAACCCCACCTGCTGATCCAGGACTGGGTTTGAAACACCCAAGAAGCTCTGCTCCCACCCCAATCAATAGGAACAGTGTTGGGACAAGCTTTGACTAAATCCACTGCACTTATGGGAGGTAGAGATATGCAAATCAGGTCCTGTCTTGCGCTTGATTTGGAGAGAAAGTAATGCTCTTTCAAATTAGATGCCCAGCCAGGGGGCTTCTTCAGGATGACATAGGCTAGGATGGCATTAGGAACCAGGCCTGGGGTGGGGGGACCTCAACTGCAGGGAGGCCAGTCTCTCCAGGAGGGACTGGGGTGTGGTCACATGCAGCTGGGCTATTGTGTGACCACAAACTGTACCCTGGCTGACAATGTCCACACTCACTTGCTCACACAGGGTTGGACAGGGCTGGCTTTATGAGTGTCCCCCGATCCCCATTAGGAACAACTCAGGCCAGCGTTACTGGATAGGGCCTTCTATAGGGTCATTGAGGCTGGTGAGGAGAGAGACTCTCTGCACTTTAAGGCACAAGAGAGGTGCTAGCAAAACATGAGTGTTTGCTGTTCACAGGGTTGAGCTGCCTGCCTTTTAGATGCCCTGTTCTCTGGAACGGACCAGACTAGATGCTCCACTCTGGTGTAGGATGAAAGCCCCAAGCCTGTATGTGAGCTGAAGGCATGAGAGGAGACACACTGCCATTTCCTCCCTCCCTGTGCGTAGGTGGGGAGGTCATCAGAGTCTGAAGTCAAGGGTGATCGAATGTCCCCAGGGTCCACCTGAGGCTTGCTCAGCTGACAGGTTCATAACCAGGTTACAGACTGCCCTGACCTTGCATCAGGACAAGAAGGAGCCCACAGTGGGTTATTTCAGTAAATATGCCCAGATGCTGTGTTCCTGAAAAATGGATCTCCACCCATGCAATTACCTCGTAGATACTTGGGGTCACTCAGCTTGAGATAGAAAATGGATCTTTGCAGGAGCACCTCCAGCTTCTCAGCCAGCTTCCCCATGCGCAGGCTCAGCAGCTGTAGCAAGGGGTCCCGGGCCCACTTCTCCTGGACGCTTTGTAGCTGTACTGGGAGGGAGCAGAATTCATTCATTCCACCATCCAATAAGCCATTTGGGTGGGAAAAAAATCCTAATTTATATTGCATACTGTGAGCCTCTCCACCTTCCCCAGCACACAGGAGGAAGTGTTTGCTGAGTTTCTTGGAAACTGGGCCTTGATGGGGCTGATCTAGGGGATGGGTGTGAGGTCAGAGTGGTGGAAGGTGGTGCCAAGAGCTTGGTTTCTGGAGGTGGGCCTGCATTCAAATTCTGACTCTAATTCTGTCTTGGGTAACCACAGAAAGTCATTTAATTTCTCTCCATCTCACTTTCTCCATCTGTAAAATGGGGATAACAATAAACCTTACCACTTGGAGGGGTGCTATAAGGATTAAATGAACTAATATGTAGGGAGGATTTAGTATTTAGTGCAAAGTCAGCACTTAATAAAGTTTAGCCATTAGTATTAATTAAGGGGAGTTAGGGTCTATTGTACATGAAGAAAAATGAGAGAGAGATTCAGATTGCAGGGTGGAGAGCCATTGTGTACAGTTGAGCAGGTTGTGCACTGCACAAAAGGGTGATCCATTCATATCATGGGTTTGTACATACTGTGTATATATATTTACACAGTATTGGTTGGTCCAGGGCATTTCAGACCATACTGTATATATTAAGACAATTTCCCAGCAGATGGTGGTCAAGTGACTTGCAATCACTTGGTACCTTTAATTCCCACAAAGGTACCCTATTGGTTAGCAGTGGTCTTTGTAAGGTTGGGAGAGAATGGTAGTGTGGAGAGAGGAGGACAAGAGGTGGCCAGAAAGAGGGGAGACATGAGGACTAGCACCAGTGCAGCGTGAGAGACTGAGAGAGGAGGTAGGGTAGTTGTCCTTGGGTGGAACTGCAAGGGAGAGTGGACTACGGTAAGGAGGGTGCTGATAGAGTCATTCAGGGAAAGACCCCATGTGCCCTTGGCTCCCTCCCTGAGCGAACCTCTCAGGAAGAAGTACAGGCTTGGGAGAGCCCGTAGTGAGGGGCTTGGTTGTGTCAAAGTGTCCTCTCCTGAAGTCCAGCAGGACTCAGAGCCTGCCCACGTGGAGCTCATTATTTGGGAAGAGACAGCTCAGGATGTCTTTGCTCTTAGTCAAGGATACCTGACACTTCCATAGACAGGTGCTAAAGCCACCAAGTGTTGAGCCTTACAGGAAAGACGACATATATACATGATCCCCAGTGATAACCCCATCAACCTGGAACTTGGAGAATAAGGAAACTGAAGCTTTTTGAGGTCAGTAACTCAGCACTGCACAGATACACAGGGGGAGGTCCAGAATTTGAAGCCAGGCAGGAGGGCTCTGAAGCCTTGCTCTGGGTGGCGTGCAAGGCCTTTGCTTCCTTCTGGGGAAACTACTCTTTTAAGTTGCTAAGGTCCTGGGAGATTTGTTGTGCAGCAATAGATTCTTAAAAAGGGAAGGTGCAGAGCTGTGGAGGGGACACAAGCAGCAGGGCTGCCAAGCGCACCATGGCTCCAAGGAGGGACAGTGATCTGAGGCTGTGATGTGGGCCCTTTGCCAGTCACTGCTGTCCAGTAGTGACTAAGGAAGCCCATCCCCTCACTGGTGAAAAGGGATGAAAATCAGGGACATAGCCTCAGGGACTGTGGAGATAAGGCAGCAAAGTCCCTCCTGCAAAATGCTAAGGGTGTGCTAGTGTCCCACAGGCTCCTAGAGAATGGCAGCACCTCGTGCTGTTACACGCGCCCCAGAAGCACCTGCCCCATGAGAGCCCCCTGTCACTCCCATCTTTCCCCATAAGGAATCAGAGACCTCTGGGGCTTCCCATGACAAGAGTCTGTTCCTCCAGTTCCATGAGCTCTTAATCAATACCTGCTGCACACTAGGCACTGTTTTTGGCACCAAGGATGGACATGACTCTATGGTGCTACTTGGCCCTGGGGGGCTGGTATGCCAGGTGGATTTAATCCTAGACCCACCACTCATTAGGTGGGAAGCGTTGGAAGGCATTTGGAACCTGTACCTCAGTTTCCTCACCTCTGAGTCACTTGGCTGCTTACACAAAGCAGATGACCGGGGGCACCCAACGCCTGTTTGCAAGGCCATTTCTCAGCCTTCACGGGCCCCTTCCTCCATTAAAAAGATACCTTAAGGATTATATTCTACAACTATGATAGTATAAAGACCGATAACATTAAAAATTATATATTGAGACATTTTCTTCCATACAAAATTTCAGTTCTTTCTTCTTATTTTAAAAGAAAGCATTTTTTCAGCTCAGTGCTCATAGCTCAGCGGTTAGGGCGCTGGCCACATGCACCAGGGCTGGTGGGTTCCAACCTGGCCCAGGCCTGCTGAACGAAAATGATGACTGAAACAAAAAAGTGGCTGGGCGTTCTGGCAGGCGCCTGTAGTTCCAGCTGCTTGGGAGGCTGAGGAGAATCAATTAAGCCCAAGAGTTTGAGGTTGCTATAAACTGTGATGCCACGGCACTCTACCAAGGGCAACATAGTGAGACTCTGTCTCCAGAAAAAAAAAAAAAAAAAAAAAAAAAAAAAAGCATTTTCATGGGTCCCTAAAGTACTGTGGTTCCTGGCCCTGTGCCTGCCATACCTAGCAGGGAACCAACCTGTCAGGTGTAATGATGGTTATTCTTAATTCCTAGAGGAGGTGACAAGATGAGACTGGGGTTAGATGATGGAGATCCTGAGTGTGTCTATTGCCTTGCTCTAGCTGTGGCCTGGTAGGACGGGCAGGACCTGGGGTTCTTCAAGAGTGAGGAAGAGACACTGGGGAGGCCACATGGTCAAGACGGAGCAGGCTGTCCTGGGGCTCTCCTGCTGCTCCTGATCCTGGCTGGCTGGGAAACTGTGCTGGCAGCACAGAGAGGAGAATCAGGGAGATGCCCACCACCCAGCCTGGGAGCTAGCACCAGGCAGAGCCCATGTAGACAGCAAGCTGGGGCCTTTGCCGCTTTGGTCACAGTGGCTTGCAGGGAGAGGCTCACCGCACCTCATGGTGTATGTGCGTGTTTGGCTCCCTGTTTGCCTTGGACTATCTCCAGCCTCCTTCTCGGGGATCTTATATCTCTGAAAGTGAGACAAACACTTGGTTGTTTTCTTAGCACCTTCAAGTGGGTTTGCTGGAAGCAGAGAGAGCCGGGGCTGGAACCTGATCCTGAGGGTCCCCAGTTTTTGCCCTCATGCAAGAGGAGGGGCCCTCCCATAAATATCCATTAAAAGGATCCCTCCCCGTACCCTTGTTTGTGGCATGTCTTGGGGGGGGCTAAATAATAATTTCCAAATGTTTCCCCATGTTGCTTTAAATCCTTCCTACTTCTAAAAGCCTGTTGACAGCCAGCTGGGCTCAGACTCCCAGGGAGAGCAAAGCCCACTGCCTTCCCTTTCCCTAGAGCCAAGCAGGCTACGTTGGGGCCAGAAGGTTCTAGGTCCCAGATGTGCTGAGCAGTGCGGGGACAAAATTCAGAGCTGGTTTCCTAGGGGTCAGTCCTGGGGAACAAGTCTCACCTACCTTTTAGCACCTGGAACCCCACGGCGCAGTCCAGGTTGATTTCGGGTAGCCTCTCCTCTAGGAAGAAGGTGGCTCTCTCCAGCGCAGACAGGACCGGGCCTGCAATGGTGGCCTTGCCCTCTGCAGTGTCTAGCCCGGGCAGTGAGAAGGGCTGCATCAGTGGCAGTGCCATCAGTAAGAGCAGGAGCTGCAGCCCTGGGCTGGCCATGGCTGGCTTCTGCTCGTGGCTGGTCATATGTTCAGCACCAAGAGCTGCAGCCCAAGCCAGACGGCTTGTGCACACATCCTCTTGCCTCCTCCTCCCCACCTTCCCCTGGTAAACCTGCAGAGTGGTCAGGCAGGATGGCCCAGATGCCTGGGAAGGGCAGCTGCAGGGAAGGGTTGGCAGAGGGTGGTGTTCAGGCCAGTCATGGGTGGGCAGTCTCCTAGCCTCAGGCTGGGGAGAGAGGAGGAAGTGGGAGGTAAAGTTACCACCCCATCCAGCAATTACATTCCTAGGGATGTAATGAAGAGACTTGAAAACAGGTTTTGAAACAAAAACTTGTAAACAAACGTTTATAACAGCACTATGCACAAGAACTAAAAGGTGGTAACATCCCAAATGTCCATCAATGAATGAATGGATGGCTGTGGTGGCTCTGTAATCCTAGCACTCTGGGAGGCCGAGGTGGGTGGACTGCTTGAGCTCAGAAGAGGGAGACCAAGACCAGCCTGAGCCAAGAGCAAGACCTCATCTCTACTAAAAAAAGAAAAACTGAGGCAAGAGGATTGCTTGAGTCCAAGAGTTGGAGGTTGCTGTGAGCTATGAGGCCAAGGCACTCTATCCAGGGTGACAGCTTGAGACTTTGCCTCAAAAAAAAAAAAAAAATGAATGGATGAAGAGCATGCAGGCTACCCATACATACAATGGGGCATCATTCAGCCACGGGAAAAAAAAAATAAAGTACTGATATATGCTACAATATGAATGAACCTTAAAAACTTTACACTGAGAGAAGCTGGACACAAAAGGTCACACATTGTATGATTTCACTTACATGAAATGACCAGAACAAGCAAAGCCATAGAGATGGAGAAATGATTTCGGGGACTGAGGAGGGGGATGGGGAGTGACCATTAATAAATGTGGAGTTTCTTTTTGGAGTGATGAAAATGTTCTGGAATCAGTGATGGCCATGCAACTTTGCAAATATACTAAAAACCACTGAGAAATGGTACACTTTTAAAGGGTAAATTTTATGGTATGTGAGTTGTATCTCAATAAGTTTGTTATTTAACATTTTTCAGGAAAAAAGTGTCTAAAAACACTCCAGGGTGTGTGTTGTGGTATGTCTGGGTGTGTGTGTGGGGCAGACTAAACAATAATTTCCAAATCTCTCCTCATGTTGCTTTAAATCCTTCCTACTTTTTTTTTTAATTCTTTTTTTTTTTAATCCTTCCTTCTTCTAAAAGCCTAATGACAGCCAGCTGGGCTCAGACCCCCAGGGAGAGCAAAGCCCACTGCTTTCCCTTTCCCTAGAGCCAAAGCAGGCTACGTCGGGGGCCCCAGATGGCAGAGCAGTGCAGGGACAGAGCTCCAGGGATAGGGGAAAGGGCAATAATGAAGTAAAAAGACTGAAAAACCCTAACCTAGAACCCACAAAGAGCATCAAAGACATCAATGAGAGAGCAAGGCAAGTGAGGCTGGCCCGGTGCTAAAGGGTCCCTGGTAATGTCTCCAGCTCCTTCTCTCTAGAGCAGTGGTTTTTCTTTTTCTTTTTCTTTTTTTTTTT